ATTTTTTCACCCAAAGAATTCTCTTTAAATTCCATTTCCTTAAACTATTTGAAGTGTCAGTAATGACATAGGCTTGTGCTGTGAGTTTACAACCACTAGATGGAGAACTTGTTATGCAAAATAGCATGTAAGGATGGGACGATCCAACCAATTTAACTTTGCTGTCAGGGTAAAATTTGCTAATTTGGATCATATATTAGACTTCTGTTTTAGTGGTCAATGTGGTTCAATTTTAAGCAAGGGCATAATTTGCACAGTAACGAAAGCTGAAATTAATACTCAGAAACAAACCATAGTCTATTTAGAACGAAAATCCATTAAGTTGTCTGCGTTAGAGGAAGAAGCTGACCAATGTAGATAAAACCAATTTGTTATATTGGAATAGCTGAACTCGTGAAAAAATTAATATAGCATCCAGCAATCGAAGGATGGGACTAAGCCCCAGTGAGGTCACTTTGTTTTAATTTTAACTCCTAAGGAGAGTATAGTTCAAATAGTTAAAAATGACACTTGGCTTAACACTGCTGTTGATTTTTTTAACCTATCAAACCTGAAGTAATGATCTCAAAATTCTTAATTTCCAGCTCTCAAACAAATTCATCTCATCCTCAAAATCAATGATCTGTAAAGACAGTAACATCTATTGTCAATATTCTTGTTCATGTTTAAACTAATCAAAATCATGCAAAAAAAATGTTAATGCTACTACAGTGCTGTCAATGGCAGATGGCTTAGGCATTACAGAAAATTGTGTCCCCAAATGGCTGAAATTTGGAGCAGCAAGATATTTTTCTGATTCTCTTGGTTAAGTGTTTTTTTCTAAGATTTATTTATTTATTTATAAGAGTTACACAGCGAGAGAAGGAGAGGAAGAGAGAGAGGTCTTCCATCCGTTGATTGACTCCCCAGTTGGCTGCAATGGCTGGAGCTGTGCCAATCAAAAGCCAGGAGCCAGGAGCTTTTTCTGGGTCTCCCATGTGGGTCCAGGGACTCAAGGACTTGGGCCATCTTCTGCTGCTTTCCCAGGCCATAGCAGAGAGCTGGATAGAGTGCCTGCCTGATTGTTTTTTACAGGTCCATGGTGGTGACTCATTTATACATGGCGGGGAAAGAGGACTCTATGCATGGAGGATGCTGGGATTGGGTTATTTATGTATTTATCTGAAAGGCACAGGGAGACAGACAGACACAACCCACCCTCTGGTTCACACCCCCAGTGAAGGCTGAAGTTAGGCTTACACTGAAGCCAAGAGCCAGGAACTCTATGTTGTCTCACATTTGCGAGGCAGGAACCAAATTATTTGGGCTCCATGTTTCCTCCCAAGGTCTGCATTAGCAGGAAGCTGGAGCCAGGAGCCAGAGCCAGGAATCAAACCCAGGTACTCAGGTGTGGGACACAGAAACCTTAACCACCAGGCTGAACACCAGCTCCCAAGTAATTAGGTTCCAATGCTGGAGAGATGCTGCATGTTTTGGGTGATTTTTCCAGTTTTATTGTCCAAGAGTGGGAAAGTAGCTCATGTCAAGATAATTCATCTTGTTCAAGCACAACACCACATGTAGAAACCGGAGTGAAAACAGCTCGATTGTCTCAACTGTGTCTCCCGCCTGAGTCGATTGCTGAGGTTAGCTCCCCAAGAAATGCCTCCAGCAACCTCTTCAAGAAACACAATCGGTACGTTCACAATCACATTTAAAAATAAGGCCTTTAGAATTTAAATTACTACAAAATTATATCTTAATCCTGGATATGAATTTTATATGTCTCAACATTTAGCAAGTGTAGAGAAAAGCCAGACATTTTAGGGTAAACATTCTTAAATGCCAAAGTTCAATAAGAGGACAGCTTGTAGGTTTTTTTTTTTCCTCCTATTGGCCTAGAGGGAAATTTCATGGTGAGCAACTTATCAGAATCATCTGGAGAGAGGGAGGTTGTGGTGCAGTGGGTTAAGATGCCCCTTGAAATATCCACATCCCACGTCAAGTACCAGTTCAAGTACCAGCTCCTCTGCACTTCTGATCCAGCTCCCTGCTAATGCACCTGGGAAAGCGGCAGAAGATGGCCCAATTACTTGGGCCCCTTCCACCTATGTGGGAGACCCAGATGGAGTTCCTGACTCCTGGTGTCAGCCTGGCCCAGTCCCAGGTATTGTAGATAGTTGGGAAATGAAGCAGCAGGTGGAAGATTTCTTTCCCCCACCCCTGTCTCCCTCCTTCTCTGTCACTCTGCCTTTCCAATAAATAACTCTTTAAGAAAATCACCTGGAAATTTTTTGTTTTTCATTTTTCATTTTTATTTATATAATACCCAAAAATGAACACTAGAGATCACAAGTTAACGTCCCTGATGGGTTTCTCAGGATACTTAGGCTTGGAAAGGCTCCCTTAGAACCAAGTACATCCTCAGGGCAGGTACTCAGCCTTGTCTGCCGTTGTAGCACCTGCACCTCAGTGAGAGCAATGTGAGAGTGAGTGGGAGCTGTTATTCTTGACTTCACTTTCTGGATCCCCCAGTGCCCCTCCATGGCCCACAGTGCAGAGAAAGCTGATGATGGTTTTTGCTGAATGAATCAGGAAGCTTTCAGCATGCCTGAAAATGCAAGCACTCCCACTAAGAACCCAGACACACTTGTGAACTCCACCATTGAACTTTGTTCCCTCAAGGTGCTTTGTTTGCCCACTCATTGAGATTATTTCCAGCAAGTCAAGCCCTCTGTTTCCTAACAGATTTATCCTCACCAGAAGCTCCCAAAACGTGGAATGTTCCTTAACTCCAGAAATTTGACAGAGCTTGCAATGAATGAATGCAAACCAATATATATATAGCGTTAGGGATTCAAGAACCACGAATGTCAAATTGGATTTCTCCCCTTCTGTTTTGTTCATCTTCTCTCTTGCTTCACGTGAGGATATGCTGAAATAGAGCAACATCACACCTTATTGCATTTGCCTGCGACAGAAAAGGATCTGACACTTTGTGAATTAGGGAGGTGACTGTTAGCCAAAATACTCAGAAAAGGGGTTCAAATATGGATTATTTTGTAACCATCTGAGCCAAACACTTCATGACTCCAAACATTGTTGCACCAATTATTACTTAATTTTATATTTTTTTATTCTGTTAAACTCAAAAGTCAATGTGCATAAATGGGTGCTTGTTTCCCTGTTCATCTATTTAGTGCTGTCTGAATCTCAGTTTGCAGAACCTACAAGGAGGCTGATTCTGGCAGTGCCTTGTCCATGTTGTGGCTTGGATTTCACAGGACAGGCAAGAATTCACGAGACATGAGGTTGACGTATTGGTAGGCAAGGGCCAAGGAAAACACAGGCAACTCTTGCGTGGTGTGTAGTGCTCATAGCAAAGGCTTTCTTGAGTCATGCTTGCCATGTTGTGAGGAGAGACAATTATGAGTCAGAGTTCCCCAGTCCCACTGCTGCAGGTCATGTACATTCTCTCTCATTCACTCAAGGCCTGCCTTGTGCCTCCTTGTTTAGTATGACTGACCCACTCACAGTTCCCTAAAGGCACACATAGATGTTACCCACTGTGTTTAGCTGCTCAAGAAGTTTTATTATTATTATTATTATTATTTGACAGAGTTAGTGAGAGAGAGACAGAGAAAAAGATCCTCCCTCTGTTGGTTCACCCCCAAAATGGCCGCCACAGCCAGCGCTGATCTGAAGCCAGGAGCCAGGTGCCTCCTCCTGGTCTCCCATGCAGGTGCAGGGGCCCAAGCACTTGGGCCATCCTCCACTGCCTTCCCGGGACACAGCAGAGAGTTGGACTTGAAGAGGGCTGATCAAGATTTTAACCCCAGAACTCCTTCACCCCAACACCAACTTGGCCAACTAATTCTGCAAAACTCTGTGCGGTACCACCTCTCCTGTGGTTTTCCTAGCTGATCCTGGTGAGTAGTGGCCCCCTCTCACTTGCTCTCCTTGAGATTGCTGTGTGTGTCCATATCATGTAAAGAGCTTGGCTCCCACACCCGAAGATTCTGTAATAATTGGGCTGAGTGGATGCTTGTGCACTGGGGTTTTTAAAAGAACTTCCAAGAGTATGCCATGGATAGCCATAGTTGGGAACCACTGTTCCATTCCATTGTATTGAGTTCTCAGTGTGCATGTGTGAACTGCCCCTGTGGTTAACATGCACCATGCTCATTTGTTGTGCCTTGGAGTCCAGCACAGAATTCCTCAAGGCAGCATGCGGGTTTCAGAAACAGCTGGTGGCATCAATGGGATTCATTCAGGAGAGGCTGGGAAGACCCAGATTTGAGGAAGATGTGAGGAATCCTCTAAGGGTACAATGTGAATTAAAGAGAAAAAGTGGGCACAGGCTACACAGTAGACGTAGATTGTGAATTCCATCATGGTTGGTGTACACTTAAATGCAGAAGGGAGAAGAGGGAGCAATCAATGGGAATTCAAAGCCTCTAGGAAGAGTTTTCATTAATTTAGAAGACAGGAGAGAAAGGGAAATCCAGACCAGTAAACATTTGTGCTCATAATGAAGCCAAATCCTGGCCCAGTTAAAACTCTCTTTAAAACTAAGAGACAAATCATACCACTTACCTAGTGCCTTGTGGCTTTTCTGAGAAGAGGGGGCATCCCCACCATTGACTTTTCTCAGTGCATGCAAATCCAAAGCAGTGTAAGAATGTGCAACAATGTTTATAAAATCAATGTTCAAACAAGTGAGAACTGAAAATTTAGGGGATGAAGTTCCTGAGAAACAGCGTGTGTGATGTCTATACTTTATAAAGGATTTCATTCTCAATTAGCTCATTACGTTTTGCTGTTTCTCCTATATCTGATTCTAATTCTTTCTTCCTCTCCCTCTCTTCCTCCCAAACTCTCTGCCTGCCTGCCTGCCTGCCTGCCTGCCTGATTTCCTCCCTCCCTCCCTCCCCCCTTCCTTTCTTCCTTCCTTCCTTCCTTCCTTCCTTCCTTCCTTCCTTCCTTCCTTCCTTCCTTCCCTCCCACCCTACCTCCCTCCCTCCTTCCCTCTCTCCCTCCTGCCTCCCTCCTTCCTTTTTCTCTTCTCTATTTTATGAAGTTTCCTGTAAGACATTTAATTTGCTGAGCACTAGAGAAAAGATTCAACCAAAAATTGAGGAAGTAAACTGAAATGTAAGGCATGACCTTCCCTTCCCTCCGACCCACATGTAACAGATTTATGTGCCTTATTGTAAACATTCTGCTGCATCTTTCCTCCACCTGCTACAAGGAGTTAGAGAATCTGCTTTTAACAAGGAAGATAAATGCACCAAATGTCACGGAGCCTCAGGGGGATCAGAGATGGTAAAACAAGTGGTTTAATGTTCTGATTTCCTTTTTCTAATGCATGCACTAAGTTATGTTTTCACTGAGTCCCCGAAACCACACAGCTGAATCTGCTCTCTGCCTAAGCTAAGGGACATTTGCACCAATGAATTGAGCAGAGAGAGAATCATTCTCTCGTGGGTGGGTGTGCGAATGGCATGGAAGGAATGGGGTTGATACATGAAGATGCAGTGTGGCTACATTGGTAAGGACCATTTATGCACAACAAAGCAAATATATTTATACAAAAATTTTGCTCTGTATAAGCTGTTTTTTTTTTCCTTTGAGCAGTATTTTTGTCGTTACTCACTTTCAGATCTGACCCTCAACATAAGAAAATGTTCTATTGTGGAGCACTAATTGGCGTCAAGACATTTTGTGTGCTGCCATCGCACTGCTTTCTGCCATAGGACCACGTGAACTTGACCCAGAAATGAAGCTGAATTGTAACAGTCATGAACAACACTGAGTTTGCCAAAAGAAAAAAGAAACTAAGCAAGTATGTCTGAAAGTGAGAAGTAAGGTCACAAAGACATAAAATAAGCAAGAAAAAAATGGATGGATGGATGGATGGATGGATGAAAAGAAAGAAAGAAGAAAGGGAAGGGAGACTGTGTTGTGATGCAAAGGGTTAAGTCTCTGCTTGCAATGCCAGCACACCGTATGGGTGGCTGTTAGACTCTGGGCTGCTCCACTTCCAATCCAGCTCCCTGCTAATGCACCGTGGAAAGCAAAAGTAGGTGACCCAAGTGCTTGGGCCCTGCCACCCACATGGAAGACATGGAAGAAGCTGGCGACTCCTGGCTTCAGCCTAGCCCAGCCCCGCTATTGTGGCCTTTTAGGGAGTGAATCAGCTGATGGAGGAGCTCTCTCTCACCCTAACTCGCCCTCTCTGCAAATCTGCCTTTCAAATAAATAAGCTAAATATTTTTTAATAAGAGGAAGAAAAAAAAAAGGAGAAAGGAGAAGAGGGAAGGAGGAAGGGAGGGAGGGAGAGGCATGGAGAGAAATCTGTAAGACAGAGGATTCAATTTGAGTGAAGCAAGAAGGTGGAGGGGAAATTAAAATGAGGCTTTAAAAGATTGTGGTAGCCTTTTGACAGGTGAAGAGGGTAGTGATGAGTGACACAAAGGTGAGTAAGGTTATGAAACACCAAAATTGGTAGCAGGACTTAGTATATCGCACATATTTCTGTCACCTGTTTGATGAACACCTGAGTCCCTCCATCAGTGACTTGGGATCAGCAGCCAAGGGGTGCTGTGGAGCTTAGAAAGACAAGGGTGTGAGAATGGGCTCTGACAAGCTCACCCAGGGCAGCACTTTCTTGGTCATTTTAGAAAAACACCCGAACTAGAGAGACGTCACAGCTGTCAATGCCAATGCCCTATGCAATGGGACGTTCTCAAACTCTACTGAAAGGAAATATTTCTGATAGCTATTTGAAGGGGTACGTATGGGATACAATTTTGGAGAGGACTGTACCAATCAATGAAAATATTAGGAGAGAATGCTTTTTTTTCTTTACTGTTCTAAACAGAATAATTATAGCTGAGATCCATAAGTGGGTTTCTTGAATCATACAGTAAATTGTCTGTATTTAAAAATATATTTAATACACTGCAATATGCTGAATTATACTCAGTTGGGACATTATGTATATAAAACACTGATTTACATATATATATTATACTTCTATATCCACATATATGCATGTCTAGCTATACATACACACACATATATATGTGTGTTCATAATTTATTATTTTTTTTAAATTTTTTTGACAGGCAGAATGGACAGTGAGAGAGAGACAGAGAGAAAGGTCTTCCTTTTCTGTTGGCTCACCCCCCAATGGCTGCTGCGGCCGGCGCGCTGCGACCCGCGCACCGCGCTGATCCGATGGCAGGAGCCAGGTGCTTCTCCTGGTCTCCCATGGGGTGCAGGGCCCAAGGACTTGGCCCATCCTCCACTGCCCTCCGTGGCCACAGCAGAGAGCTGGACTAGAAGAGGAGCAACCGGGACAGAATCCGGCACCCCGACTGGGACTAGAACCCCGTGTGCTGGCGCCGCAGGCGGAGGATTAGCCTAGTGAGCCTCGGCGCCGGCCCATAATTTATTAATATATAAAATATGTAATGGCTGGCTGTGAAAAATATCAATCAGGTATAGTTCACTGTAATGCCATAGTCATGTACCCTAGCCAGTGCTTTAGCATCTAAATATTTTTATCTCCATAATTTAAAGCATTTCAACATATCCTGATTGCTACTATGACTCATTTACCTAAATATGCTGTCAACACTTGGTTCATTTATCTTAAATGCCTCTCCACTTACTTCACTATAAATCCATATTGTGCAATGAGAATTCTAGATTCTTCTTACCTGTGGGCTTACCTGTATGACCAACTTTGCACTCCCACGATGTCCCAGTACAAATGCTGTGGTGAACGCGATGTCTGCAGGTTCACTCTGCTTTCTTGCTTACTCTTTGCTTGCACTCGCATGGTCTCTCTCAGCTATTCTCTCACCATCCTCATCTTCCAGCCCTTGGGATTTTATCTGCCCACAGACGCCGTGACTCGCCTTGCGTGATGACTTCCTAATGCTGCACTCTTTACTACAAAACTTAATTTTCTTGATGTATTTAAACTAACATGTATGTAAAAGCTTTTTACAGGATGAAAATAAAAGTTTGACCAAAGGAAAAAACGGCAAGTTTGTCACCCAAAGCCCTAGTCTTTGTTTAGGGATTTCTTTAATGGATGATATTAAGCCTAGAACCACAAGTTGGTGTGTATGTGTGCACACGTGTGTGGGTATACTAGGCTGTGTATATGGAGTAAGAACTTTCCAGAGTTAAATTCTGAAATTAAGTCTCTAGTGAAGATCATCATCAGTTGAAGATAAGCATGCCGGGATTGCCCACGTTGTCATTTAAAATCATGCTCACTTGTTGTTAGGACTTTTCTCACTGCCCAGAATCAGCTGAGGTCACACTCATACATTGCGTACCCTGCCTCAGCCATCAGGATTTCCAAATCCTGCAAAATGTGAGGGTTCTGCCTGGCTGTGGGGTCTGTGCTCTGCTTGCTGACAGAGACTCCCTCATTGTACTGAAAGCTGAAGTGGCTAAGGGAAGAGGCCTCTGCATCAACAAAGTTGTGCCTTCTCCCAGCAGTTCTAAGAAAGTAGCCCTCTCGGTATCCGTGACCAAGATGTAGAATGCTTAGGGAAACAACTGCAAAAGTGAGATTCTTAGACACTTAATAATGAGTCTAATTTTGGTGATAAGCCCAAGGAATGGGATGCTGTGCCACTGCACCAGTGACATTCCCCCTCCTGTTGCCACTGGGAGAAGTCTCCAGCAACCACGTGAATGGAGGAATCCACTGTATTCCTTCATCAGCACCGTCATCTAATGTGGATTATTCCTTCCCAGCACTAAAATCAGTGCTCTACTCTGAGGTCATCATTGAGCTAGACACCAGAAATGTGAAAAACATAAAAATTATTTGCATAGTTCCCAATTTTTCCATCATTTTCAATTCAGCGTTGTACGTATTATCTCTGGCCATTGCTAGATTACTGGATTCTTGGAGACAGGAATTGTCTCTTAGTTTTATATTTTTTGTTTCCCATCATTTTTAATGGTACTTGATATATGGAAATCTTTGATGTGTATTTTGCTGATTTGAACTGAATTAAAGTGAATGGGCTCAACATCAGTTTAAAACACGATTAAAATATTTAGAGTTAAAAAAAAGACTGATTTCTGCTGAAATATCTTTTGAGTACCCTGGGCCAGTTTTCCACATTTTGGTTAGTATGTCTGTAAATAGAATAATACCATAAAAATGTCAGAATTTAATTTCGACTTTTGTCTTCATAATAACTACTGTTTTTCCTTTAGGGCTGAGTTGTATGGTTTTTCTTCTTGGGATATCAGATCCTAGCATTTAGTCAACACTTTAATCTCATTTATTGCAACTTAACTATACTCTCTGTCTTTTTATAAGACAGTCACCACTGACACATTGCCTGGTGGACTACTTCCATTTTGCCCAGGATGGCATGTACAATGAGTTAAAGTGTTTCCTGGAATTCAAAAATTATATTTCAAATCAGTTTCCAGCTGTTTTATTGTTTTCTTGTTCATGATCACATAAGGGAAAGTGAATAATACCAAACCAATTGTGAAATCACGTGTCACTCCCCTGGTGATGAAAAACGGGCGAGACAGAGCGTGTCATCAGCTTTGCTAAGTACAGACATTCCATCAACCTTAGGAACCGAGTGTGTACTTCTAGGCGGCCAGACTGGCTTAATGGCTATCAGGTGTGCGCTGAAAATTTGGTACTCCCACAGGGGGTTGCTCAGAATCCATCAGGGCTTAATCTGGGGAACCTCTCAACACATACACATCACTCGGCAGCATCTTTAGCCTGGGGCACTGTCAAGGGGGCCTTTGAGGGATTACAATGACTAAGCCAGGCTTCTCCTCTAGACAAGAAGCCATAGTGGCACTTGGAGGATATTTCACACTCATCAAATCTCTTCATAGTGGAACAATTGAAAGAATAAGCAATGGTTGCAGCAGGAGCAAAATGATATCATGCTCTAAAGGGGAAACTTCTATAGCTATTTAAAATAAAGACAATGCCAAGAAACTTCCACCCCCAGCATGAGGGAGCCAGAGATGACGTTGGAAATACTTGTCTGTGTGATCTCAACACTAGGCTATGTTTTAATGTTCAGTTGCCTCTTTGGAATACAATACGTTCATTTTTTCCCCATTGATGATCCAGGGAAGGTGGAATGGAGGGTTTAAGATGGCAACATGAGTAGTGGTCATAGGAAAGGGGTTTGAAATTCTACAATATATATAGGTGTGTTTATTTAGTAAACGTAGAGAAAGAAACGATGTTTGCAAAAAAAGCTTATTATGTGCATGTATGAAGCAAATATTTGTTGTAAGGCCAATGATAAAACTGGAAATCTACATTGATTTCCTCTGATAAATCTGTTCTAACATTCTTCATTGCATAGTTTAGATTTAATCTAAAAATGTAAACCTAAGTAGCAAAGACATACAGCAGCAAACTTTTGAAGTCAGTAATATAATATCATCAATCACTTGAATACATAATGCTATATTCCTGGCTCTATAGGGCATGCCAATCTATTTTGTATCATTTCTCGTAACACATTATGAAATTGGTACTATTTTTATCCCTGTATTTTACAGATGAGGAAGCTGAGGTTCACAGGGATGCAAGTAAATTGCCCACGTGCACAGGTAAGTGACTGAGATAGGATTTGAACGAAGACCGCATTAATGTAGATGCTCTGTCTTCAAAACATAAATTCTGGGGACAGCGCTATGGAGTAGTAGTGAGTAAAGCTGCCACCTTCCATGTTAGCATCCCATGTGGCACCATTTGGAGTCCCAGTTCCTTGACTTCCTATCCAGCTTCCTGCTAATGGTCTGGGAAAACCAGAAGAAGATGGCCCAAGTATTTGAGCCTCGGCCACCAAAGTGGGAGACAGGATGAGTCTCCTAGCTCCTGGCTTTAGCCTGACCCAGGCGTGGTTGTTGTGGCTATCTGGGGGAGTGAACTAGCAAATGAGACATCTCTCTGCCTCTCCCTCTGTCTCTGTAACTCTGCCTTTCAAATAAATACATGAATAAATAAATCTTTAAAAAATAGCAATGAATTCTCTCTTAAAATGGATGGGATAATTCCACTCCTCCATCCAAGTGCAGACACGAGAACTATCAGAACTCTCAGGTATACAAAAATTGTCCATCTATTTGCTCTTGTTGAAACTGGCTTAGTACCTACACTAAATGTGTAATGCTTAGCAGCTGTGATTGAAAAGCCAGTATTCTTATTCAGTTTATTTCATTCATTCACTTAAAAGTAGTTATTGAATGAAAGGCAATTTCACAGGTGCTGGAAAATCAGTGTTGAAATAAACATAGCCCAACCTTCACGGGCTCACAGCGGAAGGCATGTGTAAGGCTAATTTAGATAATAGTTGTACAGGGAGAAGTCTCTGAGAGAGCGTAACACTTGACCAAATTTAAATTAAAGGCTCTGTAGAAAAGGCCTCTCTTTATTTAAAACGGAAATTATTCTCTCATTTCATAAAACCAAAGCCCAGCTAAGGTTGTGTGTGAAGGTGTTGCTGTTCATACGGAGCACAAGCCACAAACTCCAGGTGAAATCGACTCCCTGCCTGGCTCAGTTTTCCATTTGTAAATGGTCATGTTGTTGTAAATAGCTGCATTTACCTGCACAGTCTCTTTGATGCCATCTCTTCCTCCCAAAGTATGAAACGTCAGCTGTCTGGTACTTTAAATGAAAATCTGGAGCCTCTGTCTTTGGGGTCCCCAGTGGTTATCAGCAGCCCATTAGAAGGCTGAGCACAATGGCCGTTTGAGTTCCTTTTATTTTTCAGCTGATGGTTTTTAGTTCACCTTAATTTATGTTGGTAAGCGTATAAATCCGAGTTTTAAGAAGTTAGGGAAGTAGTAATTGTGCTGTAGTTCTTAAGCTTGCTGTGTCACACACCTTTTGTGTGAATCTGTAATTTCTTTGTAGACAAATGTCTTTATGGAAGCAAACACACAGGGACTCCCAAGGATTTCCAGCAAGAGCTTGCCTCTCTGGACTGTAGATTCAGGGACCACATATTTAGCATTGCTCCTCTGTTTCTCTTGCCAAAAAGTTAGTTGTCTATTTAGAGTAACAATGAATACAAAATTCATCGAGACAGATTTTTCTATTTGCATTGTCTGTCTGCCTTCCTTGTAGACAGAGGAAATGAGCTGGCTTCTAATAAGAAATTGGTTGATAGGCATTACTGGCTTTTTTTTTTTTTCTCCTCTAAGTTTGATTCTTGAAGTTGATTTTAGTTGCTCATCTTCCTTCAAAGACCAGATGATCATTTAAAAAGTAAGTTACAAACATGCACTATGAAAGAAGCTATGTTAGGATTCTCCAATTGGATTGCCATTCCTCATCTTTCATTTGGATATTAAGGAAGCAAAATATTCACATCAAAGTCAAAGTCTTGATAAAGCTTTTAGGACTTGACTTAATGCACTCCAACCTCCTAGGTTTGGCGCCATCCTTTGAAGCTGAAAATAGCTAACAAATGGCTTTGCAGCGGTGCCTGACTTCTATTGTATTTCTGTTCTGCTGGTGGGCATGCATGATATAGGCAGATGACATCATATCTATTAAACCTCTCTCATTAAGAAGCTTATTTTAAGCTGCTCTTAGAGACCTTTTTTCATCTTATGTACAATTAGGAAACTGCAGGACAGACTTACAAATTAAAATCTCTCTGAAAATGAAAATAGGGATAAATGTTTCACCTGTAGCACACACACACACACACTTGGAGCACAGGAATGCACATAAGTTATCCGCATGCACCCTGCTAAATAAATTTACTTGTCTCCCTGTATGAGAAGCAGCTTGAACATCTACCTTAGGGGACCATGGAAACCTCAGAGGACGCTTTCAAAACAAAATTTACCTTGGCCTTCTCCCGTCCCGTGGGAGGACTTGGGAAGATGGATTTTTAGATGGAATACGTTTTCTCGAGATAAGAAGCAAGCTTCATTTTGCACTACCTTTGACGGAGAGAACTTCCTGGAAAGAGAATGTGAGCCGCAGGAGGGCTAATGAACGTGAACCTGGCTGCTGGACAGACCCACAGGCCGGCTGCTCCGTGGGAGTGGCTGGGCTGAGACCATCTCAGAAAGTTATGATGAAGCCTTTGCAATGCAGCTCACATTCCAGGGAAGTTCAGGTGAAGTTATGATGGGAGCTCCACGGGGGGTACGCAGAGAACAAAACAAGCTTTGTCCTGTAAGAGCTTGCACTGTGAGGGGTGACAGAGAGGTTGCCCAGGAAGAATCCTAACAGATGCATCACAGAACTTCTGAAATTAAAAGCAGAGCCCTGCCCCCAGTCGTAGCTGCAGATGTGTCCCAGAATGAAAGAGCTCTTCCAAGAAGCCTTAAGGCCACGTGGTTTGGCTAACATGCTTAGACCTTTGTTGTTTGTTTTGTTTTTTTTCCCCAGAAGGTACCCATCTCAGAGTAAATTTAATGTTTCAGTATTTTCTAAAATTTTATTAATATAAAGATAAAAGATTTCCTGAATGATATGAAACCATACTTGTCTCCCTAACAGACTCTTGGTTGCCAGTATTACTTGGGCTGGCTGGATGCAGGATAGGTTCCACTGTCCCACCCCCACCCTATTCCCTTTCACACTACCTCACACTCCCCTGCTTCTTTCCTTTCTTTAAAAAATTTTTTTTTCAAAAATTTTTTTGTATTTCATGTATACAGTCTTAAGAGCATACTGGTGTTTCCCACCATACCCTCCTCTCCTCCCTCCCTCCATCCCTCTCATCCTCCTCCTTCTTCCTTCTCTTCTTTTTTCTTTTAATTTTTACAATGCCATACTTTCCATTTTCTTTATAATCACAAGCTTAATCTTCCACCGAATAAAGAATTCAAGTACAAAGTAGAGAAGCCACTGCTCCTTGAGAGCATAGACAAGTGCTGTGATTCAAGAATTTCTGAACTGAAATTTAGCTCCTTACTTCTTGGAGTTTTACAACTCAAGTCTTTGTGATGGTCATCCCAGTGCAGACCGAGTGTCACACAGCATTCTGAAACAATTAGAGAAGAGACAGCAGCCAAAAACACTATGTTTCAGGTCGGCGCTGCGGCTCACTAGGCTAATCCTCCACCTTGCGGCGCCGGCACCCCGGGTTCTAGTTCCAGTTGGGGCACCGGATTCTGTCCCAGTTGCTCCTCTTCCAGTCCAGCTCTCTGCTGTGGCCTGGGAGTGCAGTGGAGGATGGCCCAAGTGGTTGGGCCCTGCACCCGCATGGGAGACCAGGAGGAAGCACCTGGCTCCCGGCTTCAGATCCACACAGTGCGCTGGCCACAACACGCTGGCTGTAGCAGCCACTTGGGAGGTGAACCAATGGAAAAAGGAAGACCTTTCTCTCTGTCTCTCTCTCTCTCACTGTCTAACTCTGCCTATCAAAAAAAAAAAAAAAAAAAGAAAGAAAACCCACTATGTGTCAGAGGGAAAAGAGAAACAAGATAGGAGAAAAGACTGTATTACCAAAAAGAACAGATTTTCATGGCAAAAACCTTCAGTCCTAACGAATAGATCAAATAATTAGCATTAAGTATGATAAGGTGAAAAAAACACATGCTATGTTATTTAAATTTTTAAAAATTTAATTAAAAACACATTTGGAACTGGAAAAGGAAAATTTAGTCATTTGGAAAATTGATTTGTCTGGAACACTTTATAATCCATATGCATCACATAAGGGAGGTGTCAGTGTGCTTAGAAAAAAATATTGAACTTTGTATATTGTTTGATGTAATCCAATAGATAACTCAAACAAGATTTTTATTAATATTTTATATTAAATCAGTATCTTAAAATTAGTATTAAGTTCATAGTTTTCAATTCAAACTCTATCCAGTGCTACTTTGAAAACAAGTAAAAGAAAACTATTAAATCCTCGTCTTTAAAGTCCAGAGCCTTTCATATAAACCATATTTTCCTAACCTGTTCACTAAATCTCACTACTGCCAAGGTGAAGAACTGCTTCTGTGTGTCTCAGGGAAAGTCATGTTGAAAACTAAAGTGGCCCCTTTGAGCATCAAGGAGCTTTGTGTGAAAAGATACACTCCAAGCCCTGTGAATCTTAGAGGCTTTCCTTCCTGAAATGCATTTTATAGTTTTTGACATTTGCTCAATTTATAGCTTTAACTGTGCCTGAGAAGTTGGCATCAGGCTGCAACAAGCCATTTCTCCCCTGTGTCATTGAAATATAGTTGTCAATTTGTAATAGATGATAACTGTGATTAATGTGTATATAGAATGCTTACTGTACTCTGTAATGTTACAGGAGTTAAACTGTCAAATAAACATATATGTAAGTAAATGCATCTCCTTTTATTCTTCAAAGATGGCTATAATCTTTAGATGCCACTGAGATTTAGTGATTATATTAACATATAGGACCTACATATTTTTTAAAAATTTTACAGTCTTTATGCTCATGTTCACATGTTTACACAGTAATAAATGTCTATATACTAGGGCACATGGCAAGCCCTGGGTAGGCGTGACCCATGCCTCTTAAAATGCAATACTTTTTAAATATATACTATGAATGTGTATGTTTTTTGATGGGGTATGTTTGAATAATCTTAATTCAAAATAAATGTAATTTAAATTT